ACTTTGTCCACTTAACTGCTTTTTTTATACTAAAAAAGCATCAACAGTCATAAACTATATTTTTTATACATAAGTAGACTTTCGAGACTACCAGTAATATAAGATGTATTCACCCTATTTCGTTTAAAGTGATCAAGGACTGGTAGGAGAATATTTCCACAATGATATGAGTAGAGCTGACGCTTCCATTGAATTTCACGAGAATCCTTGGGTCACAGATCAGATGTCAATTTCAAGGAAGACCCAGCCTTTTAACATATCACATTCTTTGTTGGAATTGTCGATGAAGCAAACGTATTTTTGCTATAACAACCGACTACATTACTTATTTTTCGTATATAATTACTGCATCACTTTAAACGAAATAGAATAAATACATCTCATATTACTGATTTACTGATAGTCTCGAGACGCTACTTAAATACGAAAAATAAGTAGCGTAGTCGATTGTTATAGCAAATATACGTTTGCTTCATCGACAATCCGACCAAAGAATGTGACATGGAAAAAGGTCTGGCTTTCCTTTAAATTCACATCTGTCCTGTGATCCAAGGGCACTCGAAGCAATGTGGCCGAGTGGTTGACGTGTCAAGCTCCCATTCTGCTCTGTCACGGTTCGACTCCCGCTAGGGGTGCTGATAAGACCGATGCGAGGTCGAAACTGCAGTCTACTCCATCCTGGATGAGAACAATTTTTGGGAAAGCAAGGCTATGTGAAATTCAGTGGAAACGTCAGCTCAACTCATATGATTGTGGGAAAATTATACTACAGGTCATTCATCACCTTAAACGAAATTGGGTGAATACATCTCATATTACTTTGTGCTCGCCTATCTTACATGCAGGCAGGCAAGTGAAGCTGATGAATCATTTTCTCTCGTTTCTCCCTTCATTTTACTTTTTCTATTTAGGCCTTCATGTGAACAAACTAGGTTTTTAATATGCAGACACACACACATCTTAATGTTCTACTTATTAAGTAATTTGCTTAAATCTATTATTTTCCTCATAACTGTATTATTTTATCTTCAGTTCATATGGCGGTTCCTGTCGAAACGGTGGAAAATGTATCGCTGTCACAAAAAGCGATCCAGGAATTCCCGGACCAATCCATCAGTGCAGCTGCCCTCCTGCGTGGAAGGGTGATGTATGTGAGGCAAGCGCTTGATCTTGTCCGTTTTCTTCACATTGTCCAAAAGCATGTTTTTATTAACAAGTGCTTTCAGGAAATTATCGAATTGGCACTCGTTAATTGCCGGCTAAACTTACGTAAGGCAAATTAAGTATTGTTTTCATGACTACCAGTAAATCAGTAGTATGAGATGTATTCACACAATTACGTTTAAGGTGATGAAGAAGAAGAATTTTCCCACAATGATATGATTAGAGCTGACGTTTCCATTTAATTTCACATAGTCAGCTCCATTCATATCATTGTGGGAAAATTTTTCTTCTACCAATCCTTCATCACCTTAAACGAAATTGGGTGAATACATCTCATACTACTGATTTACTGGTAGTCACGAAAACAATAACTTAATTCGAAAAATAAAAGTATAGTAGTCGATTGTTATAGCAGATATACGTTTGCTTCATCGACAATTTCACCAAAAGAATATGATATGACAAAAGGTGAAGAAGAATTTTCCCACAGCGATATTAGTTGAGCTGACGTTTTCATTGAATTTCGACTCCCGCTGGTGGTGTTGATAAGACCGATGCGAGGTGGAAACTGCGGTCCACTCCAGCCGGGATGAGAACAACTATGGGGAAAGCAAGTCTATGTGAAATTGAATGGAAACTTCAGCTCTACTCATATCATTGTGGGAAAATTCTTCTTCTACCAGTCCTTCATCACCTTAAACGAAATTGC